AATTAGCGACTTGACTTTTTGGATTTTCGTTAGCGACTGACTTCATCGCCTCGCTCTCCGTTCGCGGTGGTCTCCTGCCCTTTTCTACATCTTTCGGGGGAAGATGTAGAGAAGCTCTTTTATTGGCTAATTTTTATTCACACGCTTTTATCTAGGTGCAAGCAAAGCAGGTTGATTCTTCGCTTGCGATCCGCGGTTTTCGGTGTAACGCTTATATTTCATCGCGTTTGCGTCTTTTCGCGATAAACGCTTCGCGAGAGCGTGAGAACGTTTCTCAAATGATTGTATAATAGCCGACTTACTAATTTATTATTAAAACTATATTAATATAATATAATATAATATAGTTATAGTCATTCGGACTATAACAATTCTCTCTAATGGAGCTCCAACATTATAAATTTGTAGAGGAGATTTTCCTTTTCCTGAAGGACCTTTCTTTGAAACGCAGGTTTTACAGGTTATGCACCATTTCTCAACATCCTGTTTGCAGGTTGTCCAGAAGCCCCCCCGTCGACCACCACCTTGCCGTGGTGGGGGGGCTCACCCTTCGCAAGGGAATAGCCTTGCGAGGGGTGCCAAGAGTGGTCGGTACCTCTAGTGGTACACTGCCCCCGGTCCGGGGGGCACGCCCTCCGTCTCTGGGGGCTCTCCTTCGGGGGGTGAAAGATTTCCACCCCCTGGGGAGACGGGGCCCACTTCCCCGTTAGAGCTTCGGCTCGTATGTGGTAAGGGATGGCGACCCGGAATTCAAACGCCCGGTGGCATGGCACCGTTAGGAGAAGGGACTGCACGGCGTTTCGGCGCTTCCCTTCCCACCATGCTCTGTAGCCCGGCACGTCTGCCGGGTAGGCGGCTTTTGCCGCCCGGGGTTTTCTCCCCCCTCCGTCCTGAGGGGGACTCGTTTTGGGGTTTCCTCTGGGGGGTTGGGGGTGGGCGTCGGCGGCGGGGGCCGCAGTGGAGGGTGCCGCGCGCGATTACCCGAGGGGCTCTGCCCGGAGGGTTTCCCGAGGGGCTTTGCCCGGAGGGAATCGCGCCGGCGGAGGGGTCAACATGGTCACCCGAGGGGCTTTGCCCGGAGGGGGCCATGTTGATCGGTCCTCGGGGCCCGTTCGTAGAACGGTTCCCGAGGACAGGGAGGTGCCTCAGGGTGCTGGTTGGGGGTCTCCAGGCTGGGTAGCCTGGGTCCCCGTCCTAGCGTCCCTAAGGTAGGCCGTACTCAGGCCGCTCGGAAGTATTCCGAGGCAGGACTGAGTCGGCGGAGTTTTATGACGCGCGTGGTCACCCGAGGGGCATGGCCCGGAGGGTTTACCCAAGAGGCATTGCCCGGAGGGGACCACGCGTGTCAGCCGTCGAGGCCGCTCGGACATATTCCGAGGCGGGGCTCGACGGCGAAAGGGAGGTCGCAGGGTGCTGGTTGGAGAGCGTGCTCTTGTCCCAGCGTCCTTGCGACATGCCATCCTCGGGCCGCTCGGACGTTTCCGAATCCGGGCCGAGAGTGGCGGAGAAGGCGCGCCGCGGTTACCCGAGGGGCATAGCCCGAAGGGGTTACCCAAGGGGCTTAGCCCGGAGGGTGCCGCGGCCGCCTGCCGCTGGGGCCGCTCGGACGTTTCCGAGGCGGGGCCCGGCGGCGAGAGAGAATATCCCCGGTCGGTCGGGACCGTTTCCCTTCCAAACCGATCGATCGGGGAGGCGCACCCCCTCGTCGAAAATCTTCGACAAGGGGTAACACGGTAGCTGGTCGCCACGGCGTGTAGAGCAGGGCCGGGGAGCGGCGACCCTGTCCAAAGCGTCCGTGGGGCCCCCTGGGTGGCGCCACCTGGCGAGGTACCCACTCTGTCGGAGGAGTGGGACCCCTGAAAAACCATGGAGGAGTAAAAACCCCCATGGTGGTGTAAGGGGCCAGGGACCCTGCGGGGATGGCTGTTGGTCCTTCCCGTATGGGTGTATGCCGACCCCCCGGAGTCCCGGGGCCCCGGTCGGGGACACGGCCGGTCATGTTTCGGGGTGTCTCCGGCTGGGAGGGAGATACGCCGGTCGGCAGAGCCTCGCCAGGGAATGGGATAAAGCAAAGATGAAGTCCATGTTTAAAAATAACAACAATAAAGATGAGCCCAAAAAGCCCTCGAGGAAGGAAGAAAAAAGGTTTCCACGTGAAATTTCTGACGAAGAAGTGGCGGTAGATGAAGACTCTTCCATGGAGAATTCAAAACCAACACAAGAAGATCAGAGTAAAACTATACTCGTCAAAGAGAGGAAAAGATGGGATACTACCAATCTCGTCAGGTCATTGGAGTGTAGAGTGATGTTGACAAAAGACGACCATATAAGTCCAACCACCATTACCGAGCAAGAGAAAAGGAAGGGCGCTCCCTCTCCTATTGAGGAGATAGCAACAGAGAAAGAAGAAGGAGCTGGGGACAAATCAACACCAAAAGTTGTGGACATGCAGGTAGTTGCGCTCTATAACAAAAACTTCCCGCCACTAAAGCATAGAACTAGGTCTGGAGGGACTGCTACCAGCGAAAGAGGTGTAGAAGAAACTCTTCCAACATCAAAAGTTGGGGGAAAATCTCTAGTCCAAAAACAGAGAGGTGAGAGGCGTAAAACTATCCGCACAAACCCAATGAGAAGGGCAGATAAAAGCGGAAGTGTCGAGAGGAAAAGCGATAGTAGAGGGACATCTCTATCACCATCACCGTCCGTAAGATCAATTACGGAGGCGGAAGGTTGTGCTGAAGAGAGAGAAAAAGGATACTCAACAATAGATGGGGAAGCTGACACGGAAAGCATGTCAGAAGATTCTTTGGCTGATAGGACAACTATGCCTAAAAAGAAAGTGGAAGACAACAAAGAAAAGAAACAAAGAGGACGTAAACCCACAACATGGCAATATGTAGGTTGGGCAGCGGCTAAGAAGAAGAATGCTGATGAGGAGAGAAGACTTCTAGATATTCGCGCCGAGAAGGAACTCTATGAGAACTGGACGGACCCCAAAAGAACTAGGAGCATGGGGCAACCAGAAGAGATAGGTCAATCTACAGAGGCAAATGTCCTTATAGAAACAACCGACGGAAAAGAGGAGGCTGACATTGGCACAACTGTAAACAGAAGTGTCAAACTGATCATGGATGTTGCAAGCCTTAAAAAAGACTATAAAGGCACTACGCAAAAAATGCTAAAAGAAGCGGCGGTCGAAATTAAAAAGGCCTTTGTGGTGCTTAAAAGCCGCACCCAAAATGAAGAGTGCATACGGCCTGAAAAGGAAAACGGCCGATTAAGAAATGAGATGGAGTCCCTCAGAAGAGAAATTACCTTATTAAAGGAAAATATGAAGATGGTGACAGAAGCATTAGGTGGACAAGAAACTAAATCCCGGACAATGCCTGAGAACCAACCTCTCCATGAAAGTATGGAAATTGTGAACGAATTCTCGCCCCTAAACACAGGCAAAAAGAATAAGAATATAATGAGTGGAAATCCAGTCGTTCAGAACGACAAGAAAGAATGGATCCGAGCAGTAATAATCCAAGTAGGAACAATGATCAATGCTCGAATGGACGCGTTGGAAGAAAGGTTACCTCCGGAGAGGATTATAAGACCTTCTCTTAACACTAAGAGAGACCAAAATCCTTCTACTCTGGTAGCTGAAACAAGGGTGACACAAAGTGCACTATCTAAAATCCCAAGAAGGAATGAGAAGGGAAAAGACGCTGTACTTAAGAAAGATGAGGCTCCGGAAAAGGGAGAAAAAGGTAGAAAAACAACCTCACAAGCTAAGTCTGAGGGAGTAATCAATGGAGCAAATACAACTTCAACTAATAAAGCAGTTGCTAGGAAAGCACCAGAAGCTGAATGGGTTGAAGTAGTAAAAAGGAAGGGTAAAGGTGTGAAGTCACTTGTAGACAAACCACCCACTACAGTTAAGTCGGCGGGAGGGTCTTATGCAAGAACTGCAGAGAGCAAGAAGTCGGAAGACAAAACCAAGAAGCAAGCAGATAATGTTAAGAGGCAAGCTGACAAGAAGGTGGTAATTAAGCCACCAAAAACTGCAGCGATAGTGATATCCCTGAACAATAAGGATAAAGGGGAGAAGGGAGGTGGTGACCAACCCAAGCAGAAGAGCCTAGGCGAAATGTTGGCAGAGGTCCGCGACCAAGTTAATCTGCAAGAGATGGGTATCAAAGCTCTCAAACCCAAAAGAGCTATTACGGGAGCCATCATCTATGAAATTCCAGGAGAAGGTAAATCCCCAAGAGAGGATAGCAAAATGAAGGCAGAAAAGCTATCCATGAAGCTAAACGAAGTTCTGGAAGGCAGAGGGGTAAGAGTCAACAGGCCAATGAAGTCTGCTGAACTGCGTATGATAGGCCTAGATGACTCGGTCACTGTGCAAGATGTAGCAAGAGCTATAGCTCAAAAAGGCAGGTGTGCTGAAGAATATGTTAAGGTAGGCAACATTAACCGAGGGCCATCTGGACTCGGGTCTGTGTGGATTAAATGCCCGGCAAAGGCTGCTAAGATAGTGGCGGAAGAGGGAAGAGTGACAGTGGGATGGGTGTCGGCTAGAATCGAAGTGCTGGGACCTAGACCACTACAGTGTTTTAAATGTCTCGATGTGGGACACACCCAATACACGTGTAAGGCTCCTATAGATAGAAGCGGCACGTGCTATAGATGCGGGGGAATTGGCCACAAAGCCAAGGAATGTGGAGAAGCACCAAGGTGTGCAAAGTGTGCGGACCTAGATCGCCCCACCAACCATAAGATTGGCAGCCCAGCCTGCATTGCGAATAACAAAATAAACACGAATGCGGGGGCGGGGAAGAGGACGGGAAAGACCGAAATGAAACGGGATGTGAAGGTTAGAGAGACTAAAAAAGCCAAGGAGGGATCTGAGGCCAACCCTAGCCAGAGTAAGGAAGGAACATCTAAGTTGCCCCAAGTAGAAGGAAAACAAGTGATGAATGGCCAGGAGGAGGCCATGATTATAGGTTAAGATGGCAGGACGACTATTGCAGACCAATCTGAATCACTGTGCCAGAGCACAGGACTTATTTGTCCAGACTCTGGCGGAGTGGAACATCGGTTTGGCGGTGGCAGCCGAACCTTATTATGTTCACCCCAACAGATCTGGATGGCTGGGTGATGAGGATGGGCAGGTGGCGATTGTAGGGCAGTCTCTTCCTGGCGGTCCACCCTTGGCTCTTAAAGAAAAGGGTGAGGGATACGTTGCAGCTGAATGGGGGGAAATAATAATCATTGGGGTGTATTTCTCACCAAATCGGGATACGGATGAATTTGAGAGATTTCTTGAGAGCATAAATAGAGTTCTCAACAGATTCAACCCCAAGCCGATACTTGTGATGGACGATCTGAACGCCAAAGCAGTTGAGTGGGGCTCAGCAACAAGCAATGCCAAGGGGGAGATCCTAACGCAATGGCGGAAAGAGATCTCCATATATGTAACCGAGGAACGGTATACACATGCGTGCGGCATAATGGGGGTTCAATAGTAGATATTACGTTTGGAACCCATACGGCCGCAAGACGTGTACGAAAATGGAGGGTAGTAGAGAACATTGAAACACTGTCCAATCACCGTTATATCCAAATGGTGATAGCGTACCCATCATTGGGACAGCTGGCACAGCAGAGAAGGAACATGAGGGGATGCCCTCGCCCACCACGTTGGGCGCTTAAACGCATAGACGTGGACGCTCTTAGAGCTGCTGCCACGGCTAAAGCCTGGGAGGAATCTCCGCAAGAAGACTATGTGGTGGAGAATGAAGCCAAGTGGTTCAGGGAAGCACTATCGCAGATATGTGACGCGTCAATGCCAAGAATCGAAGGCACTAGCAAAAAACGGGCGGTTTACTGGTGGTCTGAGTCTATTGCAGACTTGCGCAAAAGGTGTAGTGAGAAAAGACGCCGCTTTGTAAGATGTCGACGACGCATACACTCAGAGGAGGAGAAACGTGAACTCCTTGATGAATACAAGGAGGCTAAGAAGACACTGCAGGCAACCATCCGGAGAGCCAAGGTTCAAGCATGGGAGGAACTGATACAGACACTGGATGATGATCCGTGGGGTCGACCATATAGAATTGTAAGGAAGAAACTGTGATCTGGTGCTCCCGCGGTCACGGAGAACCTTCATCCTGACATACTGGAGAATATGGTGAAGACTCTTTTCCCAACAAGAGCAAATCAAGGTCAGGAGGAGGACGCGAGACGGGCTTTACCTGCAAAATGGACGGACGACTTAACTGTATCGACAGGAGAAATTAAGAGGGCAGTTAAGCGAATGCGGTCGAAGAATACCGCACCGGGATTGGATGGGGTACCAGGCAAGGTTTGGGCATTAGCCATTGAATCTTTAGGCGGCCGACTAATGAGGCTTTTCGACGAATGTCTAAGGCAGGGCAAGTTTCCGAGCATCTGGAAGGAGGCGGAGTTAGTACTCCTTCCCAAGGAAGGGAGACCACCAGAATCGCCGTCTGCATATCGCCCGATTTGTTTGCTAGATGAGGTTGGCAAACTCTTGGAGAGAATTTTAGCGGCCCGTCTTGTTGATCATTTAGAACGAGAGGGTCCCAATTTGGTCGAGTATCAGTTCGACTTCAGGGAGGGTAGATCCACAATGGATGCCATAGAGAGAGTCCGTACCCTCTCGGAGGAGGCAGTGTCCCGGGGTGAAGTGGCATTGGCGGTAAGTTTGGACATCGCCAATGCCTTCAACACTTTGCCCTGGAATAGCATCACGAAGGCACTCGAATATCACCAGGTGCCTGAATACATCAGAAGGACAATTGGGGACTATCTCAATGATAGACATATAGCGTATCGAGGACGGTACGGAATGCGATGTACAAAGAAGATGACATGCGGGGTTCCACAGGGGTCGGTCCTAGGGCCACTCTTGTGGAACCTTGGCTATAACTGGGTGCTGAGGGGGGCCTTGGTACCCGGGGTCAGCACCACATGTTACGCTGATGATACGTTGGTCTTCGCTAGAAGAAAAAGCTGGGAAGATGCCACCAGATTGGCTAGACTGGGGATTACAATTGTTGTAGACCGCATCCGCTTGCTGGGACTCGAAGTAGCACTCCACAAGACGGAGGCCATCTGGTTTGCCAAAAAGGGCAGACAGAGACCGCCTGAATCGCACATGACGATCGAAGGAGTTCGCATCGAGGTCAGGTCTCATCTTAAATACCTGGGGCTGATTTTGGACAGCCATTGGAGCTTCCAGGAACATTTTAGCCGTTTAGCTCCCCGTGTGAGGGCGGCAATCTCGGATATAGGAGGATTGTTGCCAAATATAGGGGGCCCTAAAGATAGGGTACGCCGCTTCTATATGACGACAATAGGCTCCATAGTTCTATATGGGGCCCCGATATGGGCTGACAGACTGGTAGCTAGCAGGGGCAGCTTGCAAATAGTGCGAGGGCTGCAGAGGATTTTAGCTGTCAGGGTCGCGAGGGCGTATAGAACTACCGCTGGCGAAGCGGCGTGCGTACTTGCGGGATCTCCCCCTTGAGCAATGATGGCTGAGACATTTGCCAATATGTATAGCTGGCGGAAGGAGAAATGTCGGAGGGGAGAGAAACCGACACAGAGAGCAATTGAGAGGCGGAGACAACGGGCTCGACAGCTGTTGATAGAGGATTGGGCAGGTAAGCTTGAAGGAGCCACTGCAGGCTTAAGAGTTGTAGAGGCATTTTGCCCGGTTCTGTCAGAATGGGTGAACAGACGACATGGAGGGCTTACTTATAGGCTGGTGCAGGTGCTCACCGGACACGGATGTTTCGGTGAGTACCTGCACAAAATTGTGGATCGCGAACCAACGACGGTATGTCACCATTGTGGTGCAGGACGAGATACGGCGCAGCACACTCTTGAGGAATGTCCGGAGTGGGCAAATCAGCGTCGGGACTTGATGGACTCGGTGGGGGAGGATCTATCTCTGCCAACAGTGGTGAAGAAGATGACCGAGAGTGAGAAGGCCTTCGAGGGGATGACATCTTTCTGCGAGGGAGTCAGGTCCTTAAAGGAGGAAGCGGAGCGTGAGAGGGAGAGGGATCCAGATGCAGATCCCAAAAGGAAAGGATCGAGAGGTAGAAGGGGGTGCAGAAGAAGGGCATATGGCCGTTTTCCCTAACCCCCGTGCCTCACTGGGTAGGAGGGAGAGGACGAGAGAAGGAGGTGATTGGAGCGGGTGGAACGGAGGGGACAGGGCTGATCATGGATTGGCGGTCCCCCTCCCTTCTGCTAAGGGGTCTTTTTCCCCTTGTCCTCCCTTTGGGGGGAGGGGGGGAGGGACTAAGATGCAGGCCTGCGGGCTGTTGGCCGATTTCGCCCCCCCTTTTTGGGGGTCGAGGGGAGCCGCAGCTTTTGGGCAGGGAAAGGGGGGGATCACAGGTGCCCAAGCTTGCTTGGAGTACCATTGCACGTGATCCTTCCCCCTCCCAAAGAAGGCAGGGCGGGACAGGAGAGGACGACGATTGACCATAGGTCAAATGTCCTCTCCCCTCCCGCTATCGAGGTTTCCTTCTAAGAGGAAGTCTCGAGGAGGGATCCCGGAGGCGAGGCCGAATCCTAATCCTCTTGGGGGGACGGAGGGAGCCTCTAATCTAGGATCGGGGGACTGTGGGTTCGCAGGCCGGGGGGCCTTCGGATCCATTGCACACAGTCCCCAGAGATGGAGAGGGAGGTGGTGTGGTCCCACCTTCCCATTCATGAGAGGCGGGCGCACAAGAGGCGCGGATGCGAGGGTCTACCGGTTGCATGCGAAAAGCGATCCCGGGAGGCTCTCATCAAGCATCAAGAAGACCACCGACGGGTTTAGTGGGTCGGGGGAGGGCCCTCAGTCCTCCTTTCGCCATTGGGCGTTAACCATCCCCACATAATCCATAGCTTCCCCCGAAGTGGAGGATATGTGTTAGCACATTCCCGTCGAAAAAAAAAAAAAAAAAAAAAAAAAAGGTTGTCCAGAAGAATCGTTTTCGAATTTTTTCTAGAGTCTTATTGGCTCCGAAATGTCCTCCTGTTGGAGAATCATGTGTTTCCTCTAATATTTCTTTTATTCGTACTCGAGGAACCACGAGTTGGAGAAAACTTGATTTTAAATTTGGAGCTTCCCATTTTTTATAGAGGATCCCATTTTTCACAATCAAAGAATCCCAATACGACCAATATATTAGAGTTGAAATGTCCTCTCCGACTATTTCTGAGCGTGGGGGACGAATTTTTGTTTCCTTGGCACGAAGAATAAATGAAATGTCAGGATCTTGTCGTTGCATTTCACGTCAATTTTCCAAATTTTCGCCTTCGAACACTATACGAGAAACTGTTTGTCCCTCTCCTCCGAATTTTTTCTTTCCACTTTTGCACAATATTGACAATTGTTTGATTCACAAAGTCTTCTAGACAATCCGTCAGCATTATTGTGAGAAATCCCTTTACGATAGATAATCTCAAACTCGTATTGTTGTAATCTTTCCATCCATCGAGCTAATTGACCTTCCAAATCTCTGAAAGATAAAAGTCATCGTAACGAAACATGATCCGTACGGATTAAAAATTTTTGTCCCAAAAGATAATGACGAAAAAACTTTATAGAATCTACTATCGCTAAAAGTTCCCGACGAGTAACGCAATAGTTTCGTTCGGCTTTATTAAGCACACGATTAAAATAAGCAATTACTTTCTCTTCTCCATCTTGTTTCTGAGACAACACTGCACCGATTCCTATATTCGACGCGTCAGTATCTAATGAAAATTCTCCCTTTTCTCTCGGAAAAGAAAGAATTGGAGAAGAACATAATAAAAACTTTAACTTTTCAAAAGCTTTCTGACATTCATCTCCCCATACGTATTTAGTTTGACCTTCTGTCAACATGTAAAGGGGCTTAGCTAAGGAAGAGAATCCTTTAACAAATTTACGATAATAAGAACAGAATCCCAGAAAACTTCGTAATTGTTTCTTTGTGTGAGGTATTGGCCAATCTTTGACAACAGAAATCTTATCGGGATCTGTAACAACGCCCTCCGCAGAAACCACATGACCCAAATATTTTACACTTTTACTAAATAACACACATTTCTTCGGGTTTATTTTTAAATTTGCTTCTCTTAATCGTAAAAATACTGTTCTAAGATTGTTTATCATTTCAGTAAAACTTTTCCCAAAAATTATCACATCATCCAAATATACAAGGCAAATTTTTGATAATAAATTTTGTAAAACTTTTTCCATAAGACGTTCAAATGTTGCAGGGGCGTTACACAACCCAAAGGGCATAATTGTAAATTGCCACAATCCTTTACCTATTAAAAAAGCCGTTTTCTCTTTATCTTCGGGACGGATCTTAATTTGCCAATACCCACTTTTAAGATCAAGAGTGGAAAACTAAGAATTACCTGTTAGCTGGTCAAGAATGTCATCAATTCGGGGAAGGGGATAAGAATCCTTAATAGTCACCTCGTTTAATTTTCTATAATCAACACAGAACCTTATAGAACCGTCCTTCTTTTTAACCATGACAGCAGGAGAAACCCATGGACTATTTGACTCTTCAATCACTGCACGTGAACTCATTTCCTCCAAAATCTTATCGACTTCTTCCCTCATTTGAATCGGAATCTTACGAGGAACCTGTTTTATGGGAGGAGAATCTCGCACATTTACAATATGTTCTACAACATTACAATTTCCCGCAATAATGTCTTCAGAAAATAAATCATCAAATTCATTAAGAAAATCGACAAAACTTTCTTTTTCTATTTCAGTTAAATGTTGAGAATTCGTTTCATAGAGTTCTTTCAAGGGGATCGGAACTTTTTTAAAAGAATCTTTAATTCTAGCTATTTCTTTTTCAAACCTTGGAATTCCAAAAGCCGATTCAAAGATTTTTTCTAAATTTACCATTTTTAGAAAATCTATTCCTAAAAGACATTCATCATTTATGTCTGCAATAAACATTGGAATTTTCAACGAATATTTCCCTAATTCAACTTTAACTTTTACCCAAAACTCTACACGAACTTTTTCTCCAGTGGGATATCTCAAATTAACAAAATTCTTACAAATCTTTCTTTTCTCTTTATCAACAAATTTGCTATTTATTATGGAAACATCGGAGCCCGTGTCAACCTTGAAAGAACATACTTTATCATCTACTTTTCCTTTAAAAATGAAATAATCATTATTCTTAATTCTATTAACATTTAATACAGTTTCCGAAGAATTTTTCACAGAAGCCAAACTCTCCCCGCTAAGCTCGGCTAAACCAAGTTTCCCTTCTCAATAGGACATTCGTACCGAAAATGTCCGACACGTTTTCCCACACGTCCAACATTCCCTTTGGCCGGTGCTAAATTTGCTGCCTGGCCAATTCCCTTTTCCGTTATTTTCTTTCTTATTATCTTTTTCATCTCGTTCACCTTCTAATTTATTATCCTGCGCGTTCTTTTTTCCAATACTCGAAAATTTTTTACTAAAATTAAAATTTCCTCTCTTTTTCTCGTAATCCTCCCCTTGAATTATTTTTATGGCTTTTGCCCTTTCAATTGCCAAACTCAAAGAAGTTATGTTTTCCTATCTTGCCTTGACTGGCTGAATCCGTGTTCGTTTCTTGCCTTGACTGGCTGTATCGTGTTTAGATCTTGCCTTGACTGGCTGGATCGTGTCTGAATCTTACCTTGACTGGCTAGATTCGTGTTCGTATCTTGCCTTGACTGGCTGGATCGTGTCCGGATCTTACCTTGACTGGCTGGATCCGTGTTCGTATCTTGCTTTGACTGGCTGGATCGTGTCCAGATCTTGCCTTGACTGGCTGGATCCGTGTTCGTATCTTGCCTTGACTGATTGGATCCGTGTTTGTATCTTGCCTTAACTGGTTGGATCGTGTTCGTATCTTGCCTTGACTGGCTGGATCATGCTTGGACTTTGCCCTGATTGGTCGGAGCATGTAAAATGAGACTATCGGAAAATGAATATTTTAAGAAATATTTTGTATTTTTATCAAAATGTAGTAACTTTTAAGCTTTATAACTTGAAAAGTACGCAATGGAAAAACATTTGACTGTAGCGTTTTGGAAAACGAGAGTTTTCCAAACGTGACGAAACAGTCATGTAATAAAAAATAGGTGCCATTTAAAAAAATTGAGGTGACCTTCACGTGATCTTCAAATAAATATCCAAGGTCAAACCAATGGCACCATTTTATAGCCCCTTCGAAACCATACAACACATGTCTGAACCATTTTTCGATATTTCGCTTAGTTTACGAAAAAATCGATCGTATTTTTTAAAATGGCCCACCCTGTATATATATATATATATATAACATTTCCTTCGTACGTTGTGTAGAATTATCATATGATTTAACTTAACTCTACGTTTGGTTACTAACAGGTAATTACCCTCATGCATTTCGGTACTATCTTTTATCTGTCCGAAATACGAAGATATCACAATTTTACAACTATCTACTCTGATCCCAGCAAACACGGTATATAAATGTTATATACATGTAAGTATTTAAGCATGTTACATGTAACGTATATGTTAGTTGTAATTTCCCACTCATAAATGTAACATTTTTAATATAACATATATTACATTGTAGTTACATTGTCATTATACATTGGGACATTGTCATTGTCCCAATAGTACTAACTTATCAATACATCAATGTGCTATTTGATATATAATTACAATATAACTACAATGTAATATATGTTATATTAAAAATGTTACATCTATGAGTGGGAAATTACAACTAACATGGATGTTACATGTAACGTACACGTTATATTATCTGTTACATTCCGTTTTATTATAGCAATGTAACAGTTATATATCGGTGTTTGCTGGGATGTTACCCTTACCGATGAATTGGTTACACGCACTTAATCAACTAAAATAAAAAAAATTAAAGAGCGCGAAAACGTGAAAAATAAGGTCGTATTATTAGAATATAAATATATTTATGAGATAACGTGTAAAAAGCTCTAACGAATTAAATTAATATGGTGAGAAAATCGTTTATTTAGACTCAAGTATTTCATGTAAATATTTATAAAACTATAGATTTTTCTTATTATTTTACAAGGAGGGCCTTTCTCGAGGACAGTTCCACAGTAGTACCGGTCTTGTATGTTCAGTCGCCCCTCTAATTCAATCGCCCCATGTAAGAGACGCGTTGCCATCTCCTAGAGCCGATCCTCTCACCCCATCCCGATTTCTGTCATCTCTGAAACAATACAAACATACCAAAATTAAAATAACCGTAATAAGTGAATATACAATACATATTTATATACATACATATATTCTAGATTAAACAAGGAAAACTTACCTTTACACCTCCAACCTCTTCCGCCCACAGAGTGGACACATTGGTAGAACAATGGCGGTTGCAGGATGACTTGTCTCCCGATTAGTCGGAGGATTAGCCTGACGATTGGTCCGACGATCAAGCTGGCGAAGGACCCGACGATGGACCGGACTTTTGATCAAGGGAGCGGTCTTCTCGTCAAATAAATGAAATAATTATTAATAGGACAAAACAGACACTATTAACAAACATATACTTAAAGGAAAGAATCTCTTTCTCACCTGATAGAGCCGGGGAGAGGAGTTACGCAGAGCGACCAAAAGAGCTTGGTACCTCTTGCGAGAAACGCTCTGTTTGAACAATCACCCTAAACTAAAGATGTCTTCGCCTCGACTCTCCCACAAAGCTTCCATCGCTCTCCTCGATCTAATCCTAGCCCAACGGATCTCGCGTCCTCTCCTCATGTTAACGAACCCTCGGACGTCCACATCTGAGATGATCTTCGCCTGGAATAAACGAAATTTATAACTTATATATATTAATTCATGCCTCCGTTATAGAATGTTATTACTTACACCAACTGGCATTAGGATTTCAAGGGTGGTTCGGGAGAACGAGAGATCCAAACTTCCACAGATCCCCATGTCTGCTCACCACAGACACCCAAGACTCTTCCACCTCCTTAAAAGTATCTTTCGGGAGCTCCAGCTCAAAGAGTTCCTCCAAATTGAAAGAACCCTCCTCCCGATTCTCCCACACCGTCTCGATCTCCTTCCTCCATTTTTTGCGATCCTCTACCTTTTGCAACTTATGCGAAATACTCATGAAATTGTCTATTTGCGTTACTGAACCTTCCTACAAACACCAAATGATTAGTTGTAATAAATAGCACTCAAATCTTAAAAACCACGTAAACTCATCTGAATTAATGTTAAATAAAATTTTTACTCTTACCGCGTACGGCAGATGTACCTTCACGGTAATTCTCCTCCTTTTTTCATCGCTATCCTCGATTGGCGGATAATAAAGAATGTTTAAAATTCCGACCTTTTTTTTATATCTCCACATGTTTCTTTTCTCATTAAAGAATAACACCACTGAACTCGACGCTAGTCCAAACTGTAATGACGACTGCAACATGCGACGTGCCGTAGGCCTTACCCCTCCCTTACACAAGTGACTCTACCACCGAAAACAATGACTATGATATACAACACTGACATCTATAGAGTTCCTTTTACATTTATTCCTCAGTAATAAATATTATTATTTACAGAAAAATCTAATCTATTAACTAAGAGTTTTAACAAGGCTCTGTAATATAAATATAACTTTAAAGATATAAGACAGGCAGTAAGAGCCAACTCGCGGATGACAGTGCGTTATCCTAACGAAACTAAATTTTTCGTTAGGATTAAGTATCTGTGCACAAGGCACCAAATTTTACTTGGTCACGGCCAAGATTTAAAATATGAAATAATCTCATATTTGAGATTTAATTTCAATAACCCTTTCACCCCCCTACGGAAATAAGTAAATGCAAGAGAAAATGCTAATCTATTAAATTACTATTATTTTCAGCTGCGGATTGTGTGTATATGCGTATATATATGCATGTGTATATATGCGTATGTATATGTTGTGACGTGACATTTTTTTTGTCCGTCACAACGGTCGAAGGCCCGGCCGGGAAGACGGGAAATTCGGAAACCTTTGCTCTCTCGCCAACCTTGAGAGAGAGAGAAAGCACCCGAAAAATAAATTTTGCGTTTTCTTCCGCGTAGAAAAATGCGCCCCGCGCATCCGTCCCGCAAATTACTTTTATTTATAATTTTTGTTTAAGCGATTTTTGAGTTTTCGGCGAGCAATTTTGCATAGGGTACGTGTCTCAACCGGAGAAATCGAAAGAAAGAGAGAGTGAGAGAACGGAGAGGACGAAAAGGACGAAGAGGACCGAGCAGAGGCCACCACGTCCGGATCACGCCCGGTAAATATTGTTCACACACAGATTTTCCTAATTGCTCCTCCCTTTAAGAACCTAGATACCGCCATAAAATACTCCTTCTTCCGCAGAGATCCCGGCAAGAGACGGGGATGTCCACTCTCTCGCGAGAGGCGAGAGAGCCCCGGAAACGAAGGACGCGGGAAATACACTACCTCGAGCCTCAGCCTATCCAGACATACAAAAATTCGCAATTGATCAATAAATCGATCTGGCGGATTTTTGGAGGAACAGCAAAGGGGCGCGCTCGTGGGATTCTTCCCGACGAATTATATAGAGGAACAACGGAACTCGAGGCGGGAGAACAGAGGAACGGCAAGAGAAATTAGCATCGAGCGAATTCGCAGGGCCCCGCGGGACGCCCGGCGGCCCTGCCAGGATAAGGAGCGCCACGGGTGGAAAATGCCCAAATTTTTATCGGCGTGATCACGGCAGGCGTCTCGCTCGTCACTGTCTGGCGGAACGTGGCCGAGAGCGAAGGTTCCTGATTGCGGATGCCGAAGCATCGAAGAGCTTGCAGCTACCGATGAGACGAACGGCCTTATTCTTGTAAAGCTGCTAATTTTTGAGTAAATTGTTCGGGAAAGACGCGTGTCACGGCCGCGGCCGGTTATCTAATATTCACCAGTGTCATTTCGCGATATTACGAGAAAATTGAGAAATTTATTCCGCGTAGAATTTTATCCCGGCGCCCGACCGACCGCGTGTTCTCTCCCGCGCGCATATTAAGAGAGGCTCTCTCTCCCGCGGATACGCCGACAGTCGCCGCGATTTTGTTATATCAATGTTAGAATTAAAATCTCGTCCCGTAATTATGGTGTCGTCTTTCGTCCGTTAGAAGTTAAAGATTGTAGAATATAATCTTGTCTCTAGTCACGTATGAGAAATATAGCGTATTCTTTCTCGCGCATATTATTATTCGAGTATCCTTTCGATCTTCGTGACATTGTGCGGAGGACACAGTGTGATCGATCTCAAGGGAAATCGCGCGGGACCTACTATAGTTTACGGGAGGTTTTGTATTGCCAAAATTATTAGAATCAATTGCTTCGCACGGACCTTATTAAGTCTCGTGCGTTAATAATTATTCGACACGTAGGCGTGCAAGTTTACTTCCGGGTCCCACGTGTCACCTGATATCTCCGCGTCTTCTCAAAGGCGCGGGATAATAACAACGCGCCGCGTCTCGGCCGTACATACGCCGTACAGTATCGTCCAAATAAAAATTATGGCTTCGCTTTCTTTGTATTTCGGTGTCACTTAAAACTCTCTGTCCGCCACGAACGATCAGTGTGCTCCATTCGTTATTTGTTCGAAATCGAACGGATAAAGAAAGCTGAAAGGAAGGGCATTAATATATTACATTCAAATTCATGCAATATAAGCATGCAGCATGCACATAACTAGCATTACGTATATAAAAACCTTAAATTGTAACAGGCAGATTTTAATATTATTTAAATCGCGCTCGGCCGCACAAGTATACATATACCTCGCGCCTGCGAAAAAGAAGCGCTTGCGTTAACTTTCATTTTTTAATCGTAAACACCGCGGTCGCGCGAGAGGAGAGAAAACCAAGTGCCAATAACAACAAAATATGACTTGCTAAAAGGTAAATAATTATCATAAACGTACTTTCGCCCTTAACATCTCGATCAAACAAGGGAAAATGTTCGCGAAGGTTCTCGAAATACGGGCCTATATAAACCTCCTCTCTCGTGACCGCGGCGCTCTCTTTCCGATTGTTCGTCGCGAATAGAGTGTGCTTCTACTTTCCGAAAAAGATCGCTTGTCTTTTTCGGTTTTCTCGTCTAATTACCGCTGCTTGCGGAACAGTCAGTAATTTATTTTCGACCCGGCTTTTCTCTCGTTTATTGCATTCATTTCTAATACATTCGACTCGGCTATCTTTTGGTAAATTCTGTGCGGTAAAACAATTGTAATTTTTGTTAATAGTTGAAATATATTTTTTGTTAACGATACGCGTGTGTCGAGTGTAGTGCCTATCTATCGTCTCGCTTCCGACCGTCCTTTCCCGCTATCCGTTGTGCACATTTTTTGGTCCTTCGAGCCGGATCTTTATCCGGAACCTCCTGTCAATCCGGTGCCACGGAAGCGATCGTGATTAAGTGTCGGTGACCAGTGCTTCTGGAAAAGAGAGACAGTGTGAGAGATGGCAGAAACAAAGGCGATCATTGCCACCGCCACGGTACTATACGGCAAGATCTCGCGCGCGTACGACAACTTGCGGAAGCTCGGCGAGGCCAACATCACCCTCGGCGCAGTAGAGGCCCGGCTTCAAAACCTCGAGAAGCTGTGGGAAAAGTTCGACGCGATTAACGATACGCTAGCCGATCGTGTGGAAAAAATAAAACATGATGTCTACGCCAAGCAAGACATCCCGTCATTAGGTGAGGAAGCTTACCTGCAGAATAAGGGCCTCATGCTCGACCTAAAGAGCGCTCTCCAGCGGCGGCTGCAGGCAGCCAGCTCTACCTCGGCCGCGCCAACGACCTCCGCTCCTCGGACAGCGCTGCCAAAAATCCAGCCACCGACCTTCGCCGGGAAGTACGAAGACTGGCCGTCCTTCCGAGACCTCTTTCAATCCATCATCGGCAGGAACCAGGCAGCCAGACCTGTTGAAAAACTGCATTACCTCAAGCTCTGTGTAAAGGGTGATGCGGAACTACTGATACGCAATTTGAGTACGACGGATGAAAATTACGAGATCGCCTGGAAGACGTTGAGCGATTTCTACGAGAACAAGAGGTTGTTAACTCGCAACTACCTCAACAACTTTCTGGCTCTTACTAAAATGAAGAGCGAATCCGCAGCTGAGCTAGGGCGACTCTTCCACGGCGTAAAAACAACCGTAAGTTCGCTGAAGGGTATCGATCGTCCCATCGACCGCACGGAGGACCTCTTTGTTCACCTTGTAGTTGAGCTTCTCGATAATCGTTCGCGTCGCGAATGGGAGAGCGTCATCAGCCACACCACCAACCCGCCTACCTACGCCGAATTGGAAGGATTCATAGAGCGACGGCTGCATACCTTAGAGGCTCTGTTTCCTGTGAAGAACGACAGCAACAGCAGCAGCAATACCAAAGCAACACGAAGCCATCACGTAAAGAAAACTGAGCCGAAAGACAGGTCCAGAAGTCGGTGCGCCGGTTGCCAGGGGGACCACTTCATAATGTTTTGCAGCAGCTATAAAGAGAAGACGGCTACAGCGCGCAGGCAGTTTGTACACGAACAGAACCTCTGTTCTAACTGCCTGGGGCGCCACCAGCTGACTGAGTGCGCGTCAAAAAAGACCTGTATGACGTGCGGCAGTCGGCACCACTCTTCTCTGCACGACGCCTTCCGCGACGCCGAGACCGCTACGACATCACACGTGGCTCAAGGACAGCCCTTCGCCTCTGTCACTGTGCTGCTCGCCACTGCTCGAGTCCGCGTCCTCGATCGTCACGGATCATGGCATCCCGTCCAAGCTCTGATCGACCAGGGCTCAGAGACGACCATAATTTCGGAGCGGTTGGTTCAACGACTGCGACTGCCTCGCACGTCTGCCGCCGTCAGCGTCTATGGACTCGGCGAGCAAAGGACGGGAATCGCCAAGGGCAAGGTCAAGCTCACCTTTCGAGCGCTCAACGGTGAGACGTCCAACTCCGTCTCCGCCTTGATTTTGCCGAAGCTGACTCTATTCTCCGGAGGATGCCGCCGAAGCCTGCAATCCTGGACACATCTCAGGGACCTGGAGCTCGCCGATCCAGAATTCCATTCCGCTGATCCAGTAGACCTTCTGCTGGGCGCCACGTCCACGGATTAATCATCCGCCAGGGTCTGAAAAAGGGAGGTCCTCAGAAACCGGTGGCACAGCAAACTTCGCTAGGCTGGATACTCTCAGAAGCCATCAACGAGAATACACGCTGCCAACGTATGTCCTCCCACCATTGCCAAGTGGAGGAAGACCTCACCTGTTTGGTACGTCGCTTTTGGGAGCAGGAAGAGGTTCGACAGCCGTCTCAGCTCTTCACCAAGGTCGAGCGGGAGTGCGAAGAGCACTATCGTCAGTACCACACACGCAACGCCGACGGCCGGTACGTCGTGCGCCTGCCCACGACGGAATCTCTGCCGGATCTCTCTGGAACAATCCGCGCCGCCCGCCGGGCTCTGCAACATACAGAGAAGAAATTTGATCGAGAGAGCGAGTTCAGAGGCATGTATGTCAAATTCATGCAACAGTACTTAGACCTGCGCCACATGATGCCTGCTCCGCCTTCGACTACCACGCGTCCGGGAGCTTGCTATCTACCGCATCACGGGGTCCTGCGTCTTGACAGCACCTCCACAAAACTGAGGGTAGTCTTCAACGGCTCGAGCTCCTTGCCAAACGGAGACTCCCTCAACAGATATCTAGCAACGGGACCGAATCTACTACCTTCTCTGGCCGACATCCTACTGAGTTGGCGACGCCATCGCTACGTCTTCGCTACTGACATCGAGAAGATGTACAGGCAGATCCTTGTGCACCCCGACGACCAAAGTCTGCAAAGGGTATTATGGAGAGAGAGCCGCAACGACGAAGTCAAGGAGTACTGGCTAAGTACCGTTACTTACGGGCTTTCCTGTGCTCCTTATCTGGCGATCCGTACTTTGCGCCAACTTGCCGAGGATGAGGGACATCGCTACCCGAAGGGAGCTCTCATCCTGCTGAGCGACGTCTACATGGACGACATCCTGTCAGGCGCGGAGACCATGGAGGAAGCCGAGGTCATGATCCAACAGCTGATGGAGATCTGCAGGGCGGGCGGCTTCTCGCTTAAGAAATGGTCGGCAAACCATTCGCTGTTGCTGAACCAAGTGAAGCCCGACGACCGTCTGCGACAAGAGGCTAGATGGTGGCTGCCCGGCGAGAGTCACTCTACTCTCGGTCTAAGATGGCAACCACGTGACGATCTCTTCGCATTCGCTACCAAAGCTATCACACTATCAACCTTCAGCAAACGGTCGGTACTTTCGTTGACAGCTAAGATGTTCGACCCTTTGGCTGGCTGGCACCAACAACGATATTAGCAAAAATCTTCATCCAGTCTACCTGGTTGCTAGGTCTGGATTGGGACGCTCCGCTACCTAGCGACGAAGCTAGAAGATGGTTGCGATTCCAGAGCGAGTTGCCAGCTCTGGAAAAAGTGATCGTACCTCGATGGCTGGGAGGTTTGACTGAATCAATGCTGGAAGTCCACGGATTCGCCGATGCCTCCGAGCGTGCCTACTCCGCGGTGATCTACCTGAAGAGCAAAACAAAAGGCATTACTAAGGTGACTCTCTTAGCTGCCAAAACCAAGGTCGCGCCACTGAAGCAGGTATCATTACCTCGACTGGAGCTATCTGCAGTGACTCTTCTGGCTCGTCTCGTCGCCCACACCTTGCCGATCATCGGAGCTGAAAGGGCACCTCTTCACATGTGGTCGGATTCCACAGTCACACTCGGCTGGATCCGAGGACATCCATCGACGTGGGCCACCTATGTGGCCAACCGGGTCAGCGAGATACAAACGCTGATCCTGATGCCCACTGGCATCACGTACCAGGACGAGAAAATCCAGCGGACTGTGCTTCTCGGGGACTATATCCTGGTGAGCTGGTTGACCACCCGCTCTGGTGGCAAGGTCCGGAATGGTTAGCAACGGAGAGCAGCCCGTGGATAAACAATGGAGAGGAGATTCCAGCGGAGGACCTCCCAGAGCGACGAGTCCGGGCCCACGCCGCCGCCGTTGCCGAGCTGAACCCGAGTCAGAATTGCTGCTGCGCTATTCTTCTCTGACCAGACTGCTGCGGATCACTGCATGGTGCCGTCGCTGGTGGCTGATCCACCGCCAGCTTCGTCCCACTCAAAGCCAGTCTAACGTAATCAGCGCCGACGACCTGACGGAAGCCCGCCTCTCCTAGGTGAGATTGATCCAGGCTGGAAAGTTAAAAGAAGAGATTAGACGGTTGCGAAATGGAACGCCGCTGCCGTCGCGAAGCGCCCTGCTAAAACTAAATCCATTTCTGGACAGCGAGGGACTTCTACGCGTCGGCGGGCGCCTCAGCAACGCTGACCTGCCGTATGATGCCACTCATCCGCTAATACTGCCCAGCGAGTCTACATTTACTAACCTCGTCGTCGATGACCACCACCAGCGGACTCTACACGGCGGGACGCAGCTGACCTTGTGCTCTTTACGTCAGGAATATTGGGTTCCTCGAGGTCGCTCGCTGGTAAAGAGACGCATCAGCCGATGTGTCAGGTGCATAAGATGGCGAGCCGCCATCCCACAGCCTTTCATGGGCGACCTCCCGGAGCCAAGGGTCAAACCAAGCAGGCCGTTTCTCCACACCGGCATCGACTACGCCGGACCGGTTTGGCTGAGAACCTCTAAGGGTCGCGGACACAAGGCAGCGAAAGGTTTTATTGTCGTTTTTGTCTGTTTAGCCTCTAGAGCCGTTCACCTCGACGTAGCCTCGGATTACTCCGCCGACGCCTTCATCGCGGCCTTGCGCCGGCTGATCTCCAGGCGTGGGGTCTGCATCTCATTGTACAGCAACTGCGGAACCAATTTCGTGGGTGCTGACAGGCAGCTAGGCGCTCTCTTCTCCGCTGCCAGTGCCGACGGACGCCGCATCGCCGCCTTCGCCGCACAGGAGAAAATCCGGTGGCACTTTAATCCACCGGCGGCACCGAACTTCGGCGGTTTGTGGGAAGTCGCTGTGAAGTCCATGAAACACCATCTGCGACGAGTAATAGGTGATGCCCGTCTCACCTATGAGGAGATGGCGACGCTGCTCTCACAGATTGAGGCTTGCCTCAATTCTCGACCGCTGCAGCCCCTGTCCGATGATCCTGAGGACGTAGCGGCTCTCACCCCGGGACACTTCCTAATCGGTTCCGCTCTCTCCGCCGTACCGGAACCGTCGCTCGAGAGAGAACCTTCGGCCCGATTATCTCGCTGGCAGCTCCTGCAACAGATGAGGGACCATTTTTGGTCCCGGTGGTCCAGCGAGTACTTACATACGCTGGCCCATCGGCCAAAATGGTCCCGAGTCAACCAGGAGGCTTGCATCGGTCGGCTGTTTGCTTCGAAGCGAGCATACTCCACCAACGAGGTGGCCGCTCGCGCGCATCACGCGATTGCACCCGGGATCCGACGGCCACGTGCGCGTGGTCGAACTACGTACCGCAAATACCAATTTGACGCGACCCGTAAGCAAGTTAGTATTTTTGACCGACGGCACCGAAGTTTCACTCGAATCGAAATCACACGTCGTAAGCGATTAACCTATTTTAAAACTTCACACTTTCCGCTATTATATATTCACATTCATTTGCACATCACCGTCATATCGTTGCACTCATGTTATCACCATACTTTGTTACAGGTAGAACACTAAAGATTGTTCCGAATTTTCGCGACGCTTAACCGACACGCGTCTATACTGACGCCCGACACAAACAGCTGATCGGCTCAGCATTCCATTGACAAATTCCGTCGGAGCACGTGCGCTCCACGTGCCAGTCACTCGCTAGCGCGTGAATAGACGCGCGCCCTTACTTTCGCGCTACGTTTCTTATATTGCAGGTGTACTGCAAGGCGGGCGAATGTTCGAAATCGAACGGATAAAGAAAGCTGAAAGGAAGGGCATTAATATATTACATTCAAATTCATGCAATATAAGCATGCAGCATGCACATAACTAGCATTACGTATATAAAACCTTAAATTGTAACAGGCAGATTTTAATATTATTTAAATCGCGCTCGGCCGCACAAGTATACATATACCTCGCGCCTGCGAAAAAGAAGCGCTTGCGTTAACTTTCATTTTTAATCGTAAACACCGCGGTCGCGCGAGAGGAGAGAAAACCAAGTGCCAATAACAACAAAATATGACTTGCTAAAAGGTAAATAATTATCATAAACGTACTTTCGCCCTTAACATCTCGATCAAACAAGGGAAAATGTTCGCGAAGGTTCTCGAAATACGGGCCTATATAAACCTCCTCTCTCGTGACCGCGGCGCTCTCTTTCCGATTGCTCGTCGCGAATAGAGTGTGCTTCTACTTTCCGAAAAAGATCGCTTGTCTTTTTCGGTTTTCTCGTCTAATTACCGCTGCTTGCGGAACAGTCAGTAATTTATTTTCGACCCGGCTTTTCTCTCGTTTATTGCATTCATTTCTAATACATTCGACTCGGCTATCTTTTGGTAAATTCTGTGCGGTAAAACAATTGTAATTTTTGTTAATAGTTGAAATATATTTTTTGTTAACGATACGCGTGTGTCGAGTGTAGTGCCTATCTATCGTCTCGCTTCCGACCGTCCTTTCCCGCTATCCGTTGTGCACATTATTTATCGAAAGAATATTAGTTTTTTTTATGCAACATATTACTCAAACTTTTATAATTGTTCTGTCCGTTCTTCGTTCATCTTATTGTTCAAATATATTCAATGATTATTACATTTGAGCGATTTTAAATAGCCATTCTCGAACTCCGTTCTCTCTCCCGTCCGAACTCCCCCCTCTACCCCCTGACGATCTGAGCGAGTCGATTATCGCCGTCGCGGAAATTTGCGGGATGATTTACGGTTTATGAAAGTTCTTTGCCGATTTGTGAATTTTTAGAGTGGCGCGAATCTCGCGCCTGGCGCCCAAGCAAACACAATTTTATGGTGTCTTCGCGAATTTCCCGCTATCCGCGCCGAAGGTGTGCCGTCGGCCACTTACATCGGCCCTATTTCTCGGATCCTTATCTATCCGACGGTATAATATAATCAACGATTACAATGTATACATCCGTATATATATACGTGTACGTGTGTGTTATTTCCCTGTATGTTAACGACCCTGACAATTAATAATATACATATATAACATTGAGAGAAAAGCAAAAGGCTTTGTACAAAATTATAATAAATGAAAATGTATTTAAATTTACAGATATGTTAACCCACATCGCGATACTCGCATTGCTTGCAAGTCCAATTTTCGCTCTTATCGGATTTGATTGTGGCGGGCAATACTTAAATATTACGTCAGTGTCATTGCTCGATGTTGGAGAGTGCAACCTCAACGTGCGGAAACTAAATTCAAGCGACGTGTATATTCAATTACTGCAACTTTCGGACTATAATCATGCTGAAGTTATCCAATGCAAGGTGGAAATCTCAAGAACTATTTTTCATTGTGGAATGCATTTTCGCATATCAGCAGTCCACAACGGAAGAGCAGATTATATCCATGAAATCGGATATACATTATGTTTAAGAATGTTTCACGATGGCACCTTTTTATTAGGATCCGGCAACGTTATCAAAGATCTAAGGATCAATCAGACTACCTTTCATAGCCTCATCCTGGCTGGACGAATCAGCAACGACGGAACTTGTAAGGGTACTCCATATTTTGACTCTTACGGAACTTGGGACGATGTCGTGATCCAAGCTGTCGTCAAGGTCTTCTTGAAATCGTCACATGTATCTATTCGACTAAACTCCGGAAAAATAATACTTAAATCTGGAGCCGTCTGTACTCGAAAGAAAGGATTCTGTCTTGATGTAGACGATGGATACACTTATTGAAAACCTGTACCAACATCCGCCTGTAATTTTCATAAGTATTTAAGTACGATGTTCTCTACAAGAACCATGCAACCAAAATTACAGATGACACAATGAACTACCCGTCTCCAATCATCTACAGCTTAACAACTCAGGAAATCACCTTCGCACTGACTAAAACAAAGGAACAGCCTCTCTGCGGATATACCCTACTCCAAAAGAACATCCCAAATTCTTCCCCAAATCCTCTCCCAAATCCTCGAGACCCAAAAAAGAGATACCTTCGCAATAAGAGGAATTATTCCTGTAGATAACTTGGACATTTTCACGTATATGAACTCCAAATTTATATACGTAGAAAAACACATTCGCTAACAAATGATGTCATTATATCACAATGTAATGCGACAAAAATGTAAATTAGAAAGACAAGTTATAACTAACGCCTTGTTTTTCGCAACTCTGCAACCTGAATTCGCATACCGCCTGATGAAAGAACCAGGGTACATGACAGTCACCACCAGAGAAATCACCCACGTAATCAAATGTATACCCGTGGACGTCACGGTGAGGAAAACAACGGAATGTTACACAGAATTACTCATTACCGTTCGCAACTCCTTCTTATTCTTCACTCCTAAATCACGGATAATTACCAAGTTCGGCAATCAAAGAGAGTGCAGTTACGAATTACCAACCATGTACCGCATCGAAGACACCTGGGTTCAATTCGCACCCGAACTACAAGTAAGGCAAGTTCCTCCGCAACAACTCAAGCCCATGACAATATTATCTTGGGGCTACCTGACACCTGGATCTCTCGCTATCAGCGGAATATATTCCGAAAAGGACATAGAAAAACTAAGAGATCATATTATGTTTCCCGCTGAAAAGCCGGCTCTTCTTAATACAATAGCCAGAGGAATTTCAGGCCTCTCTATTAACAACGACGTAGTCTCCATG